TAATAAAATAATTTATAAGTTGATATTATAATAACATTTATCCATAGGTACCTATAACTTATAAGTTTATACTTATAACATACCTATTATACTACATATACTACATACTATACTATATTATACACTATTTACTAACTACCTAAAGAAAAGAGTTGTCTAAATAACGGATACGATTAGTTAAAAAACGGAATATTCTCGTAAAATATGGTACGTCTGCAGACATCTCTAACCGACCTAACCTAGTATTATGTATAAATGGAGCTTAGAAAAAAAAGCAAGTGAATAAAAAGCAAAGGAAAAAAAAGCAAGTGAAAAAAAGCATAAGGAAAAAAAAGCAAATTGAAAAAAAGTGAATGAAAAAAAAGCATATTGGAAAAAAAATCGAAAACCAATTATTATTATTACTATAGGTATAAATTATTACAAATAGTTTGTTAAAAAAAAATCAAATAAAAATAATTCATTAATTAAATATATTATGTATATTATAATATTATAATAAGTCACAAGTGTAGGTATTACATGTTAAGTGCACCAACATGATAGTGCTATCTGAATCTATCTCTAATCTAAATTTTTTAATCAGTGTCCAAACAGAGGGATGATTATAGCTAACGGGTTTAGAAAATCGATGATTAAATCCTTCTGTTTGATTATTAGTACGCTCTGCATTTTTAATAGTTGTTTAGTGTACATTCCACGTAGCAGGTGGGAAGATTGGGTGAATATTTCGAAATTTAGATTTTTTACCTGGCCGTGAAATTCCAATTGGTCTATTTATTCCCGAAATATAAGTTTGACCAAAATAATTCACTAGTATGCTATAGCATAGGTTATAATCCTAAAATTAGTATACTTTATTAGTAATTTTTGTTATTATGTAAAATTTATAACTAAAATAATAATAATTGGTTTTCGCTTTTTTTCCAATATGCTTTTTTTTCATTCGCTTTTTTTCACTTGCTTTTTTTCCTTTGCTTTTTATTCACTTGCTTTTTTTTCTAACCCCGTATAAATTATGATTAAATTACATTAACACATATAATAGATAGATAATTTGACAATAAGACAGTGTACTAATATATAGACTCGGATAATACAGTGTACTTTAATTTAATTGTAATATGTAATAGGCTTATTTGGCAAATTATAATTCATGGTGGATAGCGGTGAAAATTGTGAAAATTGTGAATGTCGGACGGACTGTAAAGGAACTTTAAAATTTATTTAATTTAGGCAGGCGCTCAAGTTTATCAGTTTCTCCAGATAAAATGTTTTTTTAGAAACTAAAGATTCAGGCCATTCAGTCCATTATGTTTGCGATCAGTCAGATATGTTAATTTGGTTTACTGGTAGCTATAACAAATTAACTTATAGTCATACTACTATAGGTCTAACCTTCTCAAATAGGTACACAAGTACCTACATTGTATTAATAAAATAATCAAATTTCTTTGGATATATAGTGTTTTCTTTTCATAATAATATATGAGTATAGATAGGTTTTTTCAATTAAAATGAATCATGTTAATCAAACAAATATTAATATTCAACTTCGTTTAATAACTACCTACATTAAAGTTTGTTGACATTTATCCCATGTTGTGATTTCTACATTGTAAGTACCTACAGTATTAGCAGATAGGTAACTACTATAGTTACTATATATAGTATATACTCGTACTATATAGTGATGGACAGTGCCGGCGTAAGGGTATTTCATGAGGCCATTGCCTCACGATCAATCGGGTTGTGGAACCCCTCGGCTATAAAATATGACATATTAATACGCACGATTTTATATTATAAAATTTAGGTGGTGAACCTCTAGCGTCTATGTATAGGACTCATGTAATAAAAAAAGATTACGCCATCACTGTATATGTAGCGTGACAGTGTGTAATATAGGTATAGAGGTTTGTAAGATCTAAATGATACCCGAATAAAGTATTTGGTGGCCCGACAATTATGCACATACATAAAAAAAAAAACTCTCCAAAAACTTATTGAAGACAAATATATTCAAGCATAGTACACATGTACGCATTATTATTTGAGTTAACGTCTTAAATGTCAGACAACTCTATTAAAATATATTATTGTGTTGTTATTGATCATATAGTTATAATAGCTGCGTGGTTGCAGCGATCCTACGAAAAAGAAATAAAATTCAGCGCGAAATACGAAAACAGGTAGGTACCATCATCACGAGATTGTACGAAGGAATACGAATGTGTACGCTCGTCGTTCGTGCCTTGCAGTAGGCGCGAATCACGGTTTAACGTTTACGCTCTGATGGCGTTTATTACCGAATTAGGTGTATATTGTGTGTACCATCCAATATTTTTATTGTATATTTTAGTAAAGGACGCTCACGGCCACATTTTCAGATATTTGAATCACTAATATTATTACCATTTATGGTCATATGCCTAAAAATGTGATCATTCGAATTTTGATAAGGCTCCTAGGCCATATTCGTAGACTTATAGACTTGTATAAGCCTATGTCCATTATATTACAGCTATACAAATCTAACACTCTCGAAAAAGTATTCAAACTAAGTTCTAGGTAAGTAGGTAACCTAACTTATTGGTTCTTCCAGTAGTTAAGATATGTGGTTTTGTATTGACCAACGTTCCACTGCTTCTCGTTTCGCCTTAGATTTTCACGTATATCTGGTGATATTTATACGGCATACCCTATTACCACTTATCAATATTCATAAAATTATATTTAAATATGAAGAATAAATACCGCACGCAAGTTCAATTATTGAACTAGGTATTCCAAGTTCTAACTGATACAGATAAATGATAATCTGGTCGAAAAACATGGGTGGTATAATAGTTTGCTTGTAAAAAAGATTTTACCAACTAAAAGTTAAATTTTTTACAACACTCAAACATCTACAAATATCGAAATCCTGCATTTCAATCCTCTTCCCCTCATGGATACTTGACAAATATATATAAACTTAGGTACCTACTACTTACATCAAATTTTAATTTTAATTCAAAAGGTATATTGATTATATTATATTTAAAAAACTTGACCCCCCCCCCCTTCCATTAAAAATTCTTGAGCACGACTCTGCACTAGTACACTTCACAGTACACATCGGTACTACATACACAAAAACATAGGTACATAGGTACTACATAGGTAGTTGTGTAATCGTAATACGATCATCGCTCCTTTCAAAATCTAAATAATTACTTAATAATATACACGCATAAAAGTATAAGACGAATATTGGTTCAACCAACGAGTAGGTATATAATGCACATCGAAGTACAAATCCCCTTTAAAATATTATATGATATTATACCTTTACGTAGGTATTAGGTGATATACCTAGCTGGTATATCAATGATAATAATAATTAATAGTAATAATTTTATTTTTCTTAATTTTAAACCACAGCGTTTATCAATGATATTATTTTTATATATTTTGATGTACGGTACATCATGTACCTATATTATATTTATGTTACTATTATAATTAATTGTTCATATTATATTTGTTCAAGTTCGTTTAAAATAATAGAATTATTTACGTTGTTTATTATTTTTCATATCAACGAGTATATTTTTATTTTTATTTATTTGAACAGAATGGGCCTCGCTAAACATAGGTACTAGTGTTTATGTAGAGCCCACGAAGAATTAACCAACAACTTTTTTGTTACGTAGGTACCAGATTTCAATAAAATATATTGAGATTGTTTGCCACCTGAAAGTACCTATAAGTTTACCGATGTGATGAGTGGTGACTTTTATGAAATGTGAATGAAGATAATATGTGTATTTTATGTTTAAAAACAAGACTGATACTTTTGCTAATATAGTTAGATAGGTACCTACCTAATAATAAATAATAATATTTTGCAATAATCAATAGGTAAATATTTAAATACACTAACCTTTTTTTCTCTTGTGGTATCATTACAAGGGAATTGAAGTGATTGCACATTTTGCTAACACCCCCCCCCCCCCTTAAATACCCTAACCTATAGTGACAACCCTGAAAATGTGACACTTTTAACCGCAACATGTTACTTATAGTGCCTAACATAGTAAGAGTGCATTAGGTTATTATATATGGTAACCTGTATTTACATGAACGGATATAAATGACGATAATACCTAGATATTTCATACGGTTGACACCAGTGATGGGGTATTTCATTGGTCTATTGCTTGTGGAGGTACCCTTTGGCTATAAAATATGAACCACTATTTTATGTGACCCATTACATACGGTTACGGTTTTGTATCATAAAATGTATATATTATAATTATATGCAAATTATATTATGGTGATGGCTAGCAGTCTACCTCTAGCATCTATATTGGCCTCACAAAATAAAAGTTCAAGCTGTTGTATATTTTATATTTTTTTAACATAGATAATCGTTTGTTAGATTGATTGTATATATATTAATAGGTACCTATGTTATAACTTAAATTTAACTTTTTTAATTTCAACAATACTCTATATTTGTTGATTCTCAATAACATTTGGGAATATACTTGTGTAATACAAGAATCATAGAGTGTGTATATATATATAGTTAATATAAAGTACAGTATAGTACAATATAGTTGTTAGTAATTACTAATTACCAAGCATCAGTGACAGAATTCTGAAGCATGACTTAAATGAGAACACATGGTAAATAGTGATACTTGGATTAAATTTAGATCTTTACATCCTTACATTGTTTATGTGGGAGTTTAAATTGTTATTCTTGGACATTGATTTATTATTAACGTTATAATTTAATGTCTCCGGCCAGCTTGAAATCATATAGTCAGGTTTAACATTAATAACATAACACTACGTTCAATAAGAACCACAAATAAAATAAACTGTAAAAAAGTCTTTAATATTATAACTTTTATGTAATATTAGAGGTAAACAATACCTATGACCTATGTGCCGCTAATAACTCATGATTAATAATTACATTAATAAATGAAAAAAGTTTATAATTAATTAGTGTATATAAAATTATTTATTTTTAATTACAATATTATTGTGCAGTACAAGCAATAATATCATAACAATCTCATACCAATATAGATTCCTCAAATTGTTATATTACTTTATCTATATAAGATCTATTAATTAAATTCAACTTTTATCTAAATCTTAGACCTAATACAAATCACAAATTATTTAATAGAACTGTATGCATGTAAAAAGTACAAAATAATACATATTTAAGCTATACATAAGTTGTTTAGCTTAGTACCAGTCATAAGCCTTAAATAGGATAATTTATGATGTAATAGCATATTAATTTATTTACCCATTCAAGTAAAATTAAATATTAAACATTTTTATTGATACATGAAATGTTGAACAATTTAAAAAAAAATTTATTTTTTATTTTTCATTCCCTCTTTCTGTTTTTTTTGTTTCTTTGTATCTTCTTCATCAATGGGTGCCGATTTCACAAATGGAATCTCATCTTGATATCTGGTTGGCAAATATTTCTTCAATATTTCTGGCACTTTGATTCCTGTTTCGGTCTGATACGTCTCCAAAATAGCACAGATTACTCTAGTTGTAGCACATGCAGTAGCATTTAACATATGCACATAATCAACTTTTTCATTCATTTTTTTTGTTTGACCATATCGTACTAGTAATCTTCTTGATTGATAATCCAAACAATTACTGCAAGACACCAATTCACGGAATGCTCCAGATCCAGGAAACCATGCTTCCAAGTCTAGTTTCTTGGCTGCAGCATGATTCAATGCACCAGATACAATGTTAACAACTCTGTAAGCAATGCCTAATTCATCATAAAACTGTCTTGAATTATTAATCATTTCATCAAATAAAATCCAAGATTGATTGTCAAAAGGGGAAGTTAAAACAAATTGTTCAACTTTTTCGAATTGATGTACTCTGAATATTCCTCTTGTGTCCCTTCCATGAGATCCAACTTCTTGTCGGAAACACGTCGATACTCCAAGATAGCGAATGGGAAAACTAGCTTCAGGTAACCATTGATCACGATGAAGTGCTGCTATTGGTTGTTCAGAAGTGGCAATCAAATATTTTTCATCTAAATTATGATCACCAACTTTTTCACTACCTTTGCCAATTACCTTGTATAGTTCTTCATCAAACTGAGCAAGTTGAGCAACTTCTTGCATAATTTCTTTTCGCATGAAAAACGGTGTATACAATGGTTTGTATCCTTTGTCATCCCATCGGCGCAAGGCTTCTTGGACAAGTGCCGATTGTAAAAACACAGCTGGGCCTTTGAGATAATATCCTCGGGTGCCCGATACCGTGGTTCCTGAATCAGCATCTACACCGTCGATCATGTGAATTAGATCTATATGAGAGTACTTCTTCTTAACCGAACAATCGCCAACAGTGGCAACAACAGCGTTTTCTTCTTCATCATTGCTTAACGGAACCGATTCATGCACAAAATTACTGATTTCTTTGAAAGAATCGTTTCGCGTTTTCTCTATGTCAAGCAGGTCTTTGTCGTTTTGGGTCAACGCATTGTCGATGAGTACTCGCACTTTTTTGATTTGTTCCACTGACAACGGTTTCAAAACGTCAACTGTGATTGTGTCCAAAACGAAATCGGACGCAACGTCACCACCATCTTTGGGCTGAGGTTCCTTAGATTTAATTTTCTCACCGATTGTTTTGCTGCAAAGGTTTTTTAACTTGTTTAGATTGTCCGCTTTGAAACGCAGCTGCCGCCACTTGCCGTCGGCTTCGACAACTTTGTCCACCAAACTCGGGTCTTTGAAACGTTTCTTTTGGTTCTCACGAATCTGGTCCGGGTTGCCACCCTTTTCTGTCCGGAACAAGTCCAAGTCGAGCACCATTTTTTCAAGCGGTTGGAACACTAGCTGCAAATGGACCACGAAAACCGGACGACGTGTCTTCGGACTTTCGAAAAATAATAATAATCAGTTATAGTAAGCAAGTATAATAACGATAACAACATAACCCCCAAATTGAGGACGTGTTATCTTCTTATCGACGAACTACGGTACAACTGTAATCAAAGACCGTCGATTGATAGTGCGGTGATACTTGCTCCATCTACTCCGCCGCTTTAGTAACTGCGAGTATCTATACTCGACCGCAAGAGACTGCTGCGGTCGTTTATACTTTACATCAAGAACCTATTCCTTTTTCAATAATTACAAATTACAATCTGTGACAGTTCACAGTTGCCAGTTTACCAGTTGTCCAGGATGTATGACTTCACCCTCACAAAAAAGGTGTTAATCTACTTAACAAGTCAACAAAAATAAAAATAAACCAATAAAATTGTATATAATAGACACCAAAATATTGTAATTCAAACAGGTACAAAAGTATTGAAAGTATTTATACCAATATTGTATACCTACCTACGTAATAATATAGCCTTGTAGCCTATGTGTAGTAACAAACCACAAAAATATTTAAGAATAAAGCAGATACTTTATTACACTGCAAATACTACAACAGTTGATGTATTAATACTTAGATACTAATGAACTACCTATGGCAAATGTCAATTCGCTATTATAATTAATAAAATTAACATTTTTAAAGGTGAATAAGTAGGTGTACCTATAATAGGTACCTACCTGGCTGCTTGTATATAAATATTATATTATGGCCAATAGCTATAAGAAGGCCGGAGGGTAAATAAATGTTTTAATTACATATATATATATATATATGTTACTTTTTTCATAAATAATAGCAAATATCAATATTCTAGTTAGATGTTTTTCGAACAAATTGAGCAATGTTTTTCCATTTTTATTTACAAAAATCAGGTATTTAAAATAAGCAGAAAATGATTGATTCATTCTAATGAGGATAATAAACTACGTAAAATAGATGAAAATAAGAAGTATTAAGAGAAATACAGGTTACAATAATTCCAGATATTAAAGACAAATGCCAGTATATTAAAATTTATAAGAGTTAAAAACGGGTGTAAGCCAGCTAAGTGAAAAGGGCATAGCCCATTAGTTACAGAAAAAAATAATATTATATTCCCTATGAAAACTTTAATAAAACTGATAATTAATAAGGATTTTCAATACAACACTACACGAGTGTTTCCTATTTAATGATTATGGTTGGTTGTTGGTAAATTTACAAAATAACATTTGGCTCAAAATTCTGAAATGATGTTTTCGTCAAAAGACAAGAAGTATAATATGTACGATCGACGAAAAAGTATTTGAATGAATGTACTTCCAATTTTCCATTGTAACTGCTGTATGGTAGTAATAAATAATATTAATAATTAATTCAACAGGCATTTAATTTATTGAAATAATAATAATGATAATAAATACAAATGCTTACAAAAAATAAAACTAAAGATTAATCAATTGACAAAAATTAAAATAAACAATAAGCTACAATTTTTGACTATTACAGTAGGTGTATACCAGTTTCTACATAGGTAGGTATTGACAATTGACACATTTTGGTGATATAATAATTTAATTTTTTAAATGTAATAAATTAATAACAGAAAAAAATATAAAATAATAATAATATTGCTTCTTAAACATAATTAAAAATAAGACACTTGTCTCGTGAACCAGTCTTGTTGGTGCAGAAGTGCGTTATAGATATAAAATTAAAACATAAATAATTACAAGGTTTTTAAATAGGTACTTTAAAACACTCCGGCTAATGCTTGTTTGGCTAAATTCTGCTTGTAAAAGGTACAATCGTTGTTATTGGTTTCCTGTTCATATTCCGGACTTTGTACAATAATAATTCCTTCGTCTATTGCGTCGCTGTTGACTTGTTCGTCCAAAATCGGCAGACTCTTCTCTGTAGCTGCAACGTTGTCGGTACTCAGCTGCAGATCGCTGGTATTCGCCGATTCTGACTCATTTTCTTCCAGTTCGATTTTCAAGTCGATATCCTATAAAATGTAAATTTGAATAATTAGTACATTCGTATTAATTTTCGACCAGGATAAAGGAGAAGTTATTAGAAAGTAACAAAAAAAAATAGTAAAACCAAAATTTGATATTTTCAATTTCTTAGGAATAAATCATATTTCAAACCATGGGCTATGTGACAGTAATTTGTTATAACGTTAAGTTATTATACGAAATATATTGTTGATAATTGAGTGTTGCTTAATTATTCTTTAAGCCTTTTTGTTTTTTATAATCATTATCTAATTCCGCATAAATGACCCTGTGCTTTAAAATTTAAATGAGCGTTCAACGGAGTGAAATATCCAAAGTTAAAGTTCATGATCCGATTTAAACTTTCAATGCTTATTGGAAAAATACATATATTTTGTATATATTTTATTCAATAATCGATACTTAGGTTTTTTGTTCACGTTTTTAGAATAGTATTCCGCTTAAGATTATGAAATAAAAAACATTAGTCGATTAAATCGATCAAGGTTAAACGATTATTTGAAAAAACCCTTCCATAACCATCAAAACAAACATTTTTAAAAAAAGTTAAATTTTGTACCTGTTGAGATTCATCCGTTAGCTGCATACACTTGGAACTGTCCATCGTCGTTTCAGCATCGATAATGGTTTCGAGTTCCCACCATGGCGAATTGGAAGTAGCTTCGCCTTCGGACGGTGTGTGGTACGACGAAGATGACCTGGAGGGCGGCGTACCGGTACAGTCAGAAGCCGTCACAAAGTCTTCGGCGTCCGAACGGCTACTACCGCAGTGGATGTTCTCTTCCATTTTCGTCGCCACTGTCACGCAGTCCTTATTTCTGTCAGGAAATTTGTTTAGATTCACGTACCACTCCTGCAGCACCAACAGATTCACGTGTTAATTATTATTTAATATCATGATTCATAAAGCAATCATTATGACCATCGGATATTTTTACAATCGTTCATAAGTTATTTATCAACGAAGAATTAAAACTACACATTATACGATTCCTTACAATAATAGAATAATGTATAAAAAAGGTCTAAATTTGTTTGGGAAGTCTTATTGAGTCTATTTATATAGTTCAAAAACTACATTTAAAGAATAAAAAAACAAACAATAAAGTTATAGGTACTACATTTGTTTTATCTAAAAGCCTATTACTGTTTATGCACTGCTATGATGTCCTCAGAGTAGACTGAACTTTGCTCGGGGTCTTATAATGTAACTATTCGTGAATGTATGAGATTGCAGATTTATCGTCTCGTGATAGATCTATGACGTCAGGGGTGTGGTAGTGGTTTGTATCTATACCCACTCTAATACGCATTCGTGCCAATGGATAGGTTATATACTTATATTATACTGCAGTATCACAGGATAAATTCATAAATATTTATAAGCCCACCTGTGTAACGTTGCCACTGGAATCGTCTAGCACGTGCGTAACCGTACTCTGAGCCAATCCAGATAGGGTGAAATCCAACTGTTCGGCTAGTTCGGTGACCACGGACAGTTTCTGACAAACCGAATCAACCGCGCTCTCGTTGAGGTACCGTACATCTTCGTTCCTGAAAACGACATATAAATGCATAATCGTCAGATATTGTATGACAAACAGCGAAATATATACACATTAAACGCATGTGTGTTGCTTTTTCTTATTATTTATTTATTTTTTTACTTTTGTTGAACGCAAAGAGGCTCGCGAAGTCTAGTTTTGAGCATGCGCCCGAGACGAACGGACCGGCCGACTTCCAACAGGATTTTCTCCCGCGACACCAGACACTTGCGCAATCGACCTTTGTGTTTACTGGTGTTGTTGTTGTTCTCGTCCTGAATGGTTTGCACGGTTTCCATTAACTCTCTGAGTTGTCCGCAGTACTATATAAATATAGGTATGCAATAATAATCACAAATCACAATAACGATTCAATCAACACTGTAACGAGGTAATACGACGTGTATAGCCCCAAATCGTATACTGTGTAAGCACGACAATATTTTATTAACATTAATCCATCCATCACATTTATTTTTGACTTTTTTCTTACCTTATCTACGTTTCTGTGGTAAACGGTAGACACCCGTAACCGCGTCAATTGCTCTTGGCTGATATCGTCAAGTTGTTTCCAAGACTGCCATAGGCTGTTGGCGAGTGTAGAATTTCTCGTTTCGGTCAATTTACAGGATTGTCGTAGGGATAGAGCTGCGTTAAGCAATTGGCAACCGTAATCGTACGTGCCCTGAACGAATGAAACCGATAAAATATTAGTCAATCGAGATTCGAACAGTGTAGTTTTTTGTCGATAATTACTTTTGCGGTTTCTTGGAACGCTTGGTGTTCTTCTTTTTGAGCTTGAATTTCTTCCGCGTTAGATCCTACGTGATAATGAGATTTAAGCAGAACGTGATATAAGTCTTCTAACCATTGGATTGCCTACAAATGATCGAATAGAACAATGTAGTAAATAGTAATAATATGTTTATAATTATTACAAAATACAAATAATTGATTTGTATCAACTAATATGACGATAACAAAAAAAAAAACTATAAGCCGTGCTAAATCTAATTTTTCTGATTAATGCTGCATACAATAAGTGCTCGCAGATAGCTGAAAACAGTTATACTACAAGTTTGTTACTCCCATAAAAATTGATTTACAATACACGATTGCTAGTTGCACTGAATATCTATAATTTGATACACCATAACTGGTATAAGCTACCTATATAATCAGTATTATAAGACTTACTTGTGAAGCGTCTGTTTCATAGTTTAATACATAAGAAACCTGTTGCAACGTCAATCGCTGCAGTTCCACACTATCACAAAACAGTTGGCACCTGGCCTTAGTCATTTCTAATATTTCAGATACGTTTACGATGTCCGCTTCGTAGTCGACGTTTAACACGACTCCCATGGCGTTTTTAACTGGCATCGATAGCATGTCAGATAATTTTTCGCCTTCTTTTACCAAATCTCTTTCGATTTGTTCTAAACAATACATAATAATATAATGCATGAGAAATTCAAT